ACTATGTTGCCAACCCTGGGAAGTATATAATTAATTTGCAATGTAGGTAAATTAGAAAGTACAGATTACTAAAAAGATGAAAAACATATATGCATTTTATTCTTTCAAAAATGAGATTATGAGAAAATTTATATGACTTTGGGTTTGGTAGTGACTTTTTAGATACACCAACAAAAGCACAATCCATGAAAAAATAAATAAATAAATAAGTTAGACTTCATTAAAATTAAAAATATTTGCTCTCCAGAAGACACTGTTAACAGAATGAAAATACAGGTCACAGTTGGAGAAAATCTTTGCAAAACACATATTCTGGTAAAGGACTGGTATCCAAAATACACAAAGAACTCTTAAAACTCAACAATAAGAAAATGAACAACCCAGGCTTTCCTGGTGGTGCAGTCGTTGAGAATCCGCCTGCCAATGCAGGGGACACTTCCCTGGTCTGGGAAGATCCCACATGCCACGGAGCAACTAAGCCGGTGTGCCACAACTGCTAAGCCTGTGCTCTAGAGCCCACAAGCCACAACTACTGAGCCTGCATGCTGCAACTACTGAAGCCCATGCACCTGGAGCCCGTGCTCCGCAACAAGAGAAGCCACCACAGTGAGAAGCCTGCGCACCGCAGCAAGGAGTGGTCCCTGCTCACTGCAACTAGAGAAAGCCCACATGCAGCAACAAAGACCCACTACAGCCAAAAATAAATAAATTTTAAAAAGAAAATGAACAACCCAATTTTAAAACAGGTAAGACCTGAACACCTCACCAAAGAAGATATACAGATGGCAAGTAAGCATATCAAAAAGTGTTCAATATCATATGTCATTAGAGAACTGAAAATTAAAACAGCTGTTAAGATACCACTATACACCTATTAGAATATCCAAATTCCAGAACACTGACAACACCAAATGCTGGTGAGGATGTAGAGCAACAGGAACTCTCGTTCATTGCTGGTAGGAATGCAAAATGGTACTGCCAGTTTGGAAGACAGTTTGGTGGTTTCCTGCAAAACTAAACACACTCTTACTATATGATCCAGTAATTGTGTTTCTTGCTATTTACCCAAATTAATTGAAAACTTATGTGCATACAAAAACCTACACACAAATATTTATAACAGCTTTACAACACAAACTTAGAAGCAACCAATATATCCTTCAATAGGTGAATGGCTAATCAAACTGTGGTAAATCTATACAATGAAATATTACTCAGCCTTAAAAAGAAATGAGCTATCAAGCCATTTAAGACGTGGAGGAAATACATATCGCTAAGTGAAAGAAGCAAAATGAAAAGGCTACATACTATGATTACAACTATATAATGTCTGGAAAAGGCAAAACTATGGAGACAATAAAAATATCAGTGGTCAACAAACAAAAATTCAAAAATGGGCAATGGACTTGAATAGACAATTCTCCAAAGAAGATATGCAAATAGATATTAAGCACATGAAAAGATGCTCAACATCATTAGTCATTACAGAAATGCAAATCCAAACCACAATGAGATCCCATTCCAAATCCATGATGATGGCTACTATCAAAAAAAAACAAAAACAGAAAATAACTGTTGGTGAGGATGTGGAAAATCTGGAACCCCTGTGTACTGCAGGTGGGAATGTAAAATGGTGCAGCTGCTGTGGAAAATAATTTGGCAGCAGTTCCTCTGAAAGTTAAACATAGAATTACCATATGATCCGGCAATTCCACTCCTAGGCATATAACTAAAGGAATTGAAAATAGGGGCTCAGACACCTGGTCACCAATGTTCAACAGCAGCATTTTTTGCAACAGCCAAAAGGTGGAACCAACACAAGTGTCCATCAATGGATAAACAGATAAACAAAATGCAATATATACATACAATAGAATATTATTTAGCCTAAAAAGTAACTGAATTCTGATACTTGCTACAACATGGATGAACCTTGAACGCACTATGCTAAGCAAAATAAGCCAGACACAGAAGGGCAAATATTAACAAATGGGACCTCATTAAACTCAAAAGTTTTTGCACAGCAAAAGAAACCATAAACAAAACGAAAAGACAACCCACAGAATGGGGGAAAATATTTGCGAATGATACGACCAACAAGGGATTAATCTCCAAAATTTACAAACAGTTCATGCAGCTCAATAGCATAAAAACAAACAACCCAATCAAAAAATGGGTAGAAGACCTCAACAGACATTTCTCCAAAGAAGATATACAGATGGCCAAGAGGCACATGAAAAGATGTTCAACATCGCTAATTATTAGAGAAATGCAAATCAAAACTACGAGATACCACCTCATACCAGTCAAAATGGCCATCATCAAAAAGTCTACAAACAATAAATGCTGGAGCGGCTGTAGAGAAAAAGGGAACCCTCCTACGCTGTTGGTAGGTATGTAAATTGGTATAGCCACTATGGAGAACAGTATGGAGGTTCTTTAAGAGACTAAAAATAGAGCTACCATATCATCCAGCAATCCTACTCCTGGGCATATATCCGGAGAAAAACAAGATTTGAAACGATACATGCGCCCCAGTGTTCACTGCAGTGCTGTTTACAATAGCCAAGACATGGAAGCAACCTAAATATCCATAGACAGATGAAGGAATACAGAAGATGTGGTACATATTGGGTTGGCCAAAAAGTTCGTTCAGGCTTTTCTGTAACATCATACGGAAAAACCCAAATGAACTTTTTGGCCAATCCAATACATACAATGGAATATTACTCAGCCATTGAAAAGAATGAAACAATGCCGTTTGCAGCAACATGGACGGAGCTGGAGATTATCATACTAAGTGAAGTAAGTCAGACAGAGAAAAACAAATATCACATGATATCGCTTATATGTGGAATCTTAAAAAAAATTACACAAATGAACGTATTTACAAAACAGAAACAGACTCACAGACTTAGAAAACAAACTTATGGTTACTGGGGTGGGGGAAGGGATAGATTGGGAGTTTGGGATTGACAGGTACATACTGCTATATTTAAAATAGATAACCAACAAGGACCTACTGCATAGCACAGGGAACTCCGCTCAATACTCCGTAATAACCTAAATGGGAGAAGAATTTGAAAAATAATAGATACATGTATAACTGAATCACTTTGTTGTACACCTGAAACTAACACAACACTGTTAACTATACTCCAATATAAAATAAAAAGAAAAAGATCAATGGTTGCCAGGGCTTTGGGGGAAGGGAGAAAGGGATGAATAGGTGGAACAAAGGGGATTTTTAGGGCAATGAAACTCTTCTGATACTGTAATGGTGGATATATGTCATAAAACCCATGTATAACACAAATAGTGAACCCTAACATAAGCTATGGATGTTAGTTAATAATAATTTATCAGTATTGTCTTATCAGTTTTAACAAATGTACCACATTAAATGCACAATGTTAGTAATAGGGAAAACTGTGTATGTGACCAAGGATGAGGAAGTATATGGGAACTCTGTACATGCTGCCTAATATTTCTGCAAACCTAATACCGCTCTCTAAAAGTCTATTAATATTTTTTACATTAGGTGCAGACAAATACCGTTTGATTCCACTCATACAAGGTACCTAGAATAGTCAAATTCATAGTGTCAGAAAGTACATTGGTAGATGCCAGGGGCTGGGGGTGTGGAGTTGGGGAGTGGGAATGGGGAGTTAGTGTTTAATGGGGATAGAGTTTCAGTTTAGGAAGGTGAAAAATTCAGGAAATGGATGATGGTGAGAGTTGCATAACAATGTCAATGTACTTAGTGCCACTGAGCTGTACAGTTAAATATGGTTGAAGTAGTATGTTTTACATTATGTGACTTTTACCACAGTAAAAAAAATTTTTTTAAGTCTGTTAATATCTTTTATATGAGACTATAACATGGATATTTTTGTAACTTGCTTTTTTCCACTACTATGTTCATATATATTATTAACATATTTCCAGGGATTCAGCCTGGACAGGGTGGCGATGGGAAAGCTAGTCAAGGATAGAAATGAGGCTGTGGAAGGAGGATGATTCAGAGGATGTGGGAATTTAGGGGCAGGGGATGTTTTATTCAAAAGACCCACAGAGGAGAGGGACTAGAATTTGAGTGGACCAACAGACTAACTGAGCCCTTGAGTCTGAGCGTCTCCAGCAAGCTGGGAATTCGAGCAGGGCAGGGAATTTCAGTTCATGCTCAGGGAGTCCCAGTCCCCTGCTGGCAAGAGGCTGGCAAGAGGCTGGCATGACAGGATTGAGCAAGTCACTCCTGAGCTCAGCAACAACCTTCCTGCTAGGGTGGAGTAAGCAGGTACAAAAGACAAGCAATCATGATGGTCAGTTGTCTGAAATTTCCGTAACAGGAATCTGCTGAGGCACGTGGGAGCCTGTGAGGGACCATGGGAAGGCTGGTCCACTTAAGCCAGGATGTGTGCACATTAACCTTGGCTTCCCACCTGACGCTGCTATGGCCCTTCTGAGTCACATTCCTTCGCCTGGGCATCCTCCTGCGTGGCTCTCAGCCCACCTCCCACCAGGCAGGGAGGATGTGCCTGTCACAAGACTTCCTATGATCTTTGGGGATGTTTTAGGAAAACACCGAAGAGTGTGGTTCAGTCGGCCTGGGTCCTGTGCCCCTCACCCTGGGGGCCACAATAGGGGCTGGGCCCCCAACCCTTAGGCACAGAATCACCATTCAGGGACTTCCCTGGTGGCGTAGTAGTTAAGAATCCGCCTGCCAATGCAGGGGACACAGGTTCAAGCCCTGGTCCAGGAAGATCCCACATGCCATGGAGCAACTAAGCCCATGCGCCACAACTACTGAGCTTACGTGCCTAGAGCCCGTGCTCCGCAACAAGAGAAGCCACCGCAACGAGAAGGCCGTGCACTGCAACGAAGAGTAGCCCCCACTCGACGCAACTAGAGAAAGCCCATATGCAGCAACGAAGACCCAACGCAGCCAAAATAAATAAATAAACAGAAATTGTTTAAAAAAAAAAAAAAAGAATCACCATTCAGAGGAGGGATACATTCATGCTTCTTCCCATCTGGCTTTTCTGCATCCTGCTAGCAGTGGATACACTTTGCTAAGTGCTGAGTCCTATCAGAGGAAGAGATTCCTGCCCCTGCCTCCTGGTTTGACGGTATGTTGAGCCATCCTGGATTTCCTTAGGAAACAGTGAGGCAGGGCATCCCACAGTCCCCCATACCACACCATGAGGAAGCCACAGCACTTCCCTGCCCTTACTCTCTCCTCTGTGGTAGGTCAGATGGTGGGAATGCAGAGAAGTGCCACCTTCTGAGAGGAATGAGGTGTCCAAAACAGAGGTCCCTCCCAAACACTCAGGGCAGCCTCTTCGTCTTTCTGCATCCCAGTCTCTCCTCCCACCCCCAAACATGCCTGGTGTCTGAACACTAGGATGCCACACCTGCCCCCTTTCTGTGTCCTTAGTCCCATCCTCTTCCTCATGTTCTGTGCATCTAGAGTTTCTCTGTGATCTCTCTTGCTGATCCAGTGTTCCAAGAGCACATTCAACCACCCTTTTATACCCACATGGGCCCTCAGTTGGCCACCAACTCCTAGGCCCTAATAGAAACTTGCCATGGTAACTTCCAGAATCTACCTCTACTTCTGCCTTCAGCTTTGGTTCTCCATACTACTCCTTCCACCCCATAGCCATGGTACCGTCCCAGATCCTCACTTACCCTTTTGAGTCTTTGCCCAAATTCTGTTACATGTGAGCACAACCCTTCTTCTCCTAATACATGAAGTCTTACCTCATTAACGCCTCCTTCCTTTTACTAACCACCAGCAAAGTGTCTGTGCTTTTTCCAAGGCCATCTCATGAACTTGGACATTCACTCCCATCCCCTCACCTCTACACCACTACATGGCTCCAGCAGTTCTCCCTGCATCATCAGTTTACCCCTCCTCGACTGCATCATTTCTGTCAACATCCAACATCTTATTCTCTCATCTTAAAAAAAAAAAAAAAAACCCTCTCTGGGTTCCACTTCCTCCTACAGCTCCAGCCCCATTCTTCTGCACCTCTGTGGAACAAACCTCCTTTGAAGGAATTGATTACACTTGCTATCACACTTGCTATCACCAATTGCTCTCCTCTCATGCTCTCTTGAATCCACTCCACTTCACCTCCATCACACGCGAGTCTGTTCTTCTCAAGGCCATGAGTGATCTCTGTGCTGCTAAATCTAGTGGTCAACTCCACACCCTCATCTTACTTGGCCAATTCACAACTTTTCATGCAATTGATCATTTTCTCCTTGCAATATGCCAGGATGCCACACTTTTCTGGATTTCCTCCTTCCTCCCTGGCTCCTGCTTTTCAGTCTCCTCTGCTTACTTGTTCCTCTTTTTCTTCCCAATTTCTTAAGGTTGGAATGTCCCAGAGCCAAGTCCTTAGATCTCTCCTTCACTAATACTCATTCCTTTAGTAACCTTATCTGGTCCCACAATTATACATCCATCTCTCCATCTCTTTCTCTCTCTCTCCAGCCAGGACGCTCCCTGAGCACTATAAGGCTTCTGGGTTGAGAACAGACTGTTGGAGATATGGTCTCAGGAAGAAGCAGGAGATTGTGAAACTATTGTAGTATTAGTAGCAGCAGAGGAGGTAAGACAAGGTCATTTTCTGAATTTTGAAGGTAGAGACAACAGGATTTACTAATAGAGCAGAAGCAGATTGTTAGAAGCAAAAGTCGTGGCTGACACCAATATTTCTGGTCTGAACAACTGGCAAGAGAAAGGTGCCATTAACTGATGTGGGAGCAGGTTTGGTATGTGTGATTGGGTGGTGGTGGTGGTCTGGGGAATCAGTTCACTTTTGAAACAAATACTGGACATCCGAGTATATACACTTTTGATTAGACAATTTGGGCATATGAGACTGTCTACCCCATAAGATAATGATCTGCATGGAGGCAAGGCCTGTGTCTAGGTGACTGTTGTGTCTGGCATAGTTCCTGGCACACAGTAAGTACTCAAACATTTTAATTGTTGAATGCAAGATGCCTCTCGAAGTCATTTTTATTGTGACTCTTTGGAGACATTATCATCAACTGATTTTCATTCTAGGAGGCATTTATTCCATGCAGCTGAAAGGCAGTGGGGGTCAAACAGGTAACAGGGCTACAGCAAGCTCCCAGATGGGTTATCCCTTAAAATCTAATCAATAACAACAGGGTGCAGAGAGGGGAGATTCTATCAATTGCTTCTGACGTCTATCATATTAGCTATGTGCCTTTGATAAACACAAAGCACCTCCTCAAGAATGAAGCACTGTTAACACTCCTCTAAAAACCTTCCCTCCAGATTGTGGGAATATATAAAAGTTATCAATGAATTGTGCCTGTGGGCCAAAAGTGCACTGGATTCTTGGCTACTACTTCTTGTACTACATCATGCACACTTTGCTCCTCTGGGGCCCAAAGACAACACGGGAAGCCATGACAGAAGTCAAGCCTGATTTTTACCTTCAGCGCACCTTAGACGAGGGTCTCCCTTCTCTGCTCAAGTCCCTTTATCCACAGTCCAGGGTGGAGCTGAAAGAGTTGTGTGGAATGCTGGCCCATCTGTAAAATGGGTTTAAGCTCCTATACCATATGGGAAGTACAATCTACCTCCTCTACTCTCTCCATCACATATCACATTAAAAACAAAGAGGCACAAACAGGTGGTTCTTTGCTTAGAGGTACACAGTATATTTGGAGAGGGCCCTGCCTCACCTGCATATTAATGGCAATGATGATGACAGCCTTCTTCAGGAGGATGCAGAAGTTTGGAAACCTATGAACTCCTTTTTCCTGGACTGGGTATTCTCCTTGTATAGACAAGTGCCTTCTGCTGAGGTGAGAGTTGAGACATGGGATGGATTTTCTGGCTGAGTGAAACAAGTCAGCTGAGGACAGTGCTTGGAGCTGTTGCAGGAAAGGCGCAGGAACCAGGATTGGCTGGACTGAAGGGAGTGTCACTGGAACTCATTGTCTAGGCACTGGAGGGGATCAAAGAAGGCCACGCCTTCCTCCTCCTTCTCAGACTGAGCTCCCCTCACAGGGCATTTGGTGGGAGGTGGTCTCTTCTCAACATTTTCTGTCTTGGTTTTGGCTACCTTCTCATCCTTAGAGAGGAGAATGGATTCTTTATGCCCTTGACCTTTCACCTTGGGGTTAATCCAGTGTGTAAAGTGCTTCATCTTATTTCCCAGTCCAGCTTCTGCAGCTTCTGTAAGGGTAGGGCACTTGTGAGTATGGACTGTCTTTACCAGACCCTGCTCTTGGCCCTACAAAGTGTGGCCCTACAAATTTTGGCCCTGCAAAGCTTGGATCTGAAAAATGTGGCTCCTTTAAATGCTGGACTTGCAAAATGTGGGCCAGCAAGTTGGTCCTGTAAGATCTGGCCCTTTAAGCCCCGAACACTCCAGATCTGACATTCTCAGGAATCCTTGTTTGGGTGAGGTCATTCAACTTGCCCTAACAGCCTTACAGACTATTCTTATCTGGTCCTTTCGTCCCAAGGAATCCTGGAGGATGCTCTAGGAACTCCAGGTAAAGGGAGAAGCTGGTGAAGGTACTGACAGGGGGCACTAAGCTGACAGGATGGAGATGGTGGCTCTAAAGATCCAGACAGATCCTTGCTAGTCCCTACTCACTCAACATAACCATCCTGGCCAAACTAAAATTTTACCTGAGAAGGATCCTGGAGATACATTTGGGAAGTCAGGGGCTCTGGGGGTTCTACTTAGAAGTGTCCCTACTGGAACCTTGGCAGGGTAGATGTTCTCTCTGGTTGGAGAGAGACTCGGCGCTGCACCCCCTTCTCTGTGATTCTCTGATGCTTTGAGTTTCCCTGGGTCCTCTGTTCTCCCTGCTGGTGCAGGGAGCTATTCTCACCTTTGCAGAGGCCTGGGGCTCAGGGATCTTCCAGGCAGGGGTTGTTCACACTGGCCTCCAGCTGAACACAAGCACCTGGGCCTCTGTTATGTCCCCACTGGGCTGTGAGATCTTGGAGGCCCATGGGAAGAACCGTTAGGACTGCTCTGGAACTAGCTTGCTTTTGGTTCTGCTGCACTGCACAGGATTTATACACTGCTGCCTACATGAGATTGAGCCAGAGACTCTGTTGGGCACCCAACAGGCCCAGGCACCATCTTTGTGATTGGAGATTGGCTAGTGATTGCCAGGGCCATAGCCTTGGAAAGTGCCACAGTACAAAGAGCCCACAGTTCTGACAGGAAGGCCAAAACTTGTCTCCAGTTTCTCAAAGGCTCCCTGGGAGGGCACCTAGGTAGGTGCTAATCAAGGTGATCAGTAACACCGTCTGGTGAGGCTTACTGCTGCTAGTTAAGGCCTGTCAGTATTCAGGGTGTCACTTCCTAGTCCATGCAGGGACTGACTGCTGCCTCTATGTCTAAGGGCTTACTTTCCGGGGTGCAAGGGAGCCGAGTTGCTGCCAGGGCCCCTGGAATTCTGCAGACCCAGTGATTTGAGTCCCAACCGCTGCAGATGTGGGCAGAGACAATCCCCTAGCAGATCCTCTCATATTTTTAGCCAATATGGCTCTACAACATCACCATGGCCTGGGAAGCAACTGTGGGCTGGCACTACTGGCCACAATAGATCAGAAGAGGCCACTATCCCCTCTGGCCTCTGGGTCTGCAGGCTAGGGGACACTCACCCTGGTCAGTGTGCTATACTGGGGCAGGGGCTGCTGGTCAGCGGGGGATAGAAGCAACTGGATGGACTGCTGGATCTTCTGGGGCAGACCCCAGCAATGGTAAATCAAACGGCCAAATCAACCACTTCTGAAGGTGGAACTCCACCAGCTCAGGGCATGCTCCAGGAAAATACTACCTTGCTCTTGAGGACTGAAATGGGCTTCCCCAAACAGGTAGGCCCCTAAGTCTCAGGAGACAGGCTTCAGCATGTCTCAGGGCTTATGCTGTATGGTTCTATGCATCTACAGAGATCTCTGGGCAACAGCTGGCAAGCCCCACAGAAGCTGGAGCTGCCTTTGAAGTGAAGGTGCCACTGCAAGGCTTCACACTTGGCCAGAGTCAGAAATGGGACATTGACATAGGCTTGTTGATAGAAAGATGAAGAAGCCCAAATTCAGGTATGTGGAAAGAAGGTGGGTCTAACTGAGGTAAGAGGAAATTTTAGACAGTTTGGAGATTAACAAATCATTGAAGAAAAAGAAACCAGGCTCCACTTTTGTGGCAAGATGTCTAGGGGTGGACCAGGGACTCAATGTGCATAAAAGAGGAACCATAGAAAGGTAGCTGTGTTCTGCTGCAGACAGGACACTGAGGCCTCAGCATGACCCCCAAGCAATGGACAGAGACCACTTATAAACTGAAAGATGATAGAGGGTAGAGCCAGAGTCACAGAGTTTGGGATTTGTTTGCAGTGACATCTGCACTGGATCCACAGCGTATCCTTGAAAAACAGAAAGTTTGGGTGGACTTGCTTACCTCCCATGAACCCCAGGTCAGGGAGATAAAAGCCCATCTTTTCAACAGAGGCCTTAGAGGTAGCATTCATGATGAAAGAAATGGTAGTGTTTTCCCCCAGGCTTGGAAAATTTGGGGGCCGTGTGACATAAGTTGCCACAGGAATCTTCCACAGATCTTGGGAGCCCTCAGGTGTAGAAATGCATGCATTTATATACACATACTTAAAGATACATCAGGGATTTGGGGACACAGGAACATGAGATGAAGGGAATGAAAGGTCATGGGGTATTTTAGGTTTGTGAGCTTTGGGTTCAGGGAAAGAAAGGGAATCAGATATTCAAGGGCTGCTGGCCTTATTTCTCTGGAACACATTCAGAGTTGCTCTTCTTCTTGTCTTGCTGGTTCACAGGAATCCTAGGCCCTTCAAGGCTTGAAGAAGACAGAGCTCCCACGTCCCAGGGTACCTCTGGCCCTTGACATTCCTGCCTTAGCTGCTGGTCGTCCGCCCAGTATTCGTGGATGCTGACTGCACTGGCAGACTTAGTGGTTGACTTAGTGGCTGACCTGGCAACTAACTGGGTTAAGGATTTCTGACTTGTTAGTTATGACACTATGCGGGTTGCTGATGGAAGCGAAAGCTCTTTGGAGTGCAGGGAATCCTGACTCTGCTCAAAAGAGAGACTAGACGAGGACAAAACCTCTAGGCAAGAGGAGCCCTGCGATGTCCCCGAAGAAGTAGTGGTGGTCAGGGTGTTCTCACCCGATAGCAACTGCTGAATCTCCAGAGCCACAGCGTTGCAGGTTTCGCAGCAGGGACCTGTACGCAGGATCTGCCGCACGCTCCCCTCCTGAGGAAGCCAGCCCTGGCTGGGAAGGGAAACATGGCAACCGTCTGTTACTGATGGAATGACATCTGCCTCTTTTCAAGGGTGTGGCCTGGAGATTGGCCTGTAAATTCTGCGTTCTACCCCCAGGTTGTTTTTGCCACGGCTATTCTCTAGAAACATTCAGCAGGTTAGGGCTAGCTAACCTGGGCAAAGTCTCAGACAACTGAAGGGAACGCAGGGCCTTGAGAGCCTGGGAGGTGGGTGAGTTCTCTGCTGACCTGTGCTGAGTAGCTGAACTAGGAGAAGGCAACCAGGCAGATGGGGGAGCCAATGGTTAGCTGATGGCGCAGCACCAGGAACATCACCAGATAGAACCTGGAGTCAGCCTCGTTTGGGGCTACGGAGGTCCTTGTGGGAACTCTGCATTCTGGGGATTACAGGGCATACACAACATCTCTTGGAAGACAATCCCTATTCTCTAGAGATCTCAAGAGGGGGACAATATGACAAGCTCCTGCCTGAGGGCTGTCCCAGGAACTGGCCTCCCTGAAGACAAAACCAGAGGAGGTACGTCAGCAGGGTCCAGGGGTCTGCCCTTGAAAGGGTCTAGCTGTAAAGAGAATATGAAAATGATGACTGATTTATGCACTTAATTAATTATCTATCCTCCTAACTTGTCTTGTGGTTGAGTGAAAACCCATGTAGTTTTAATCCTGCACTAGTCAAATCCTGAATTCCAGGACCTTTGTGAGCCTAGCCCAGAGCAGAACTGCAGGACTCCTGTCTCCTGAGACATCTGATCCCACCCTCTCCTCTGGGAACCCCCAACCAGTGTCCAGGCTCCACTGTGTCTGGCTACGTCCCAGCCATTATGCTCCTCCCCAACCCTGCCCCAGGCCAAGCGGAGAAATGATCACAGGCCAGGCTAGGAGTTGGGAGACTGCAAAGAGCAAGAGATCACCTTCTCATGACAGAGGGCAGCTCCCACGGCTTCTCAGCTTCTTCCCAGGAAAATCTCCTAGCTGAGAAACCAGGAGACAGCGTTACATGGAACGGGAGAGGATTCAGGGACATCCTACAGGAAGCTGGAGACCTTTGGATGACAGGAGACGGCAAACCCCAACAGCCAGTACTCTGAGGCACGTCTGCCTACAACTTAACCAGGTATGATGTGCTCTCCTGGACCTAATCTCCTTTGACCTTCACAACCACACTGTGAGTGAGACAGCATCATCATGCCCATTTTATGGATAACAAGACTGAGAGCTGAAGTGACGTCCACTGGGTCATAAAACTAGTAAATGACACGGTTAAGGACAGAGCCCTTACTTCCTCACTCCCCTACTTCCTCTTCACTCCCAGGGGTAAGGTGGAGAATTCTGGAACATTCCCAGGCTCTGATTTCCCACCCAAAAAAGTCTTCTGGGAGAATCTGTCAACTTGGGGAATTGGGCCTTCAGTGGTTAGAGCACCTGGTGCCTGGCACCAGGGGTCATTGAGGGACAGGGTTCATGGGAGCCTCACCCACAGTGGAGAGAATTCAGAGCAGAGACTGGGACGTTACCTCTTGATGTTTTATCTTTAGCCCTTTGTTAGACTCTCCGGTGATGCTTAAAGGCAAAAGACAGTGTGAAGCTGGGGTGCTCTCTTCTTTTCATGTCTAAACTGAGACAAAACCTGCAAATATTTCCCAAGCTTTTTCTGTGTTCCAATTTTACACATTCTCCTACCTTTCTTTTTCCTACTCTACCTTTTTCACACCATCATTTCCTTTCTCTTATTTCTGATTCATTTTTAGGATCTTCAGACACCATACCTCCACCCCCATTCCCTGAACAAGTTCTGTGGAGAGATCAGGATAAGACAAGAGAAAGGGAGGAACGGTGGTACAGTAGCCAAAGGACCTTAGCCATCCAAGGCCCTAAATGTCCACCAACCAGAGGAATCACCCAAATATGAAGCTGTTCTGGGATCCAGTGAGGAAACTTATACCATTTAAAAAAAAAAAAAAAAAAAAAAAACAGGAGTAAGGGGTTAAGGGTAACAAGAGACAGTGAGGGGATAAAATCTTGTTTAAGGCTTAATTGGTTCAGTTGTGGTCATAGTGTTTCCCTACCCAGCAGCAGTTCCTGTTAGGTTCCAATCTTAAATCTTGGTGATTCTTTCTCACCTGCCAAATAATTAATGCAATAATGATGATGGAACCATAAGTGTAAAGAGGATATGCAACATCCCACAGAATAAAGGTAGGCCTCAACATAATCTAAACCTCACTAGCCATCCCCCTTTCTAGGCTTCCTAGGCTTTCAGGGTCTTAGAACCTAATGCCTCCAAATTCTAGACCTATCATCTCTGCCCCACAGAGCACAGAACCAGACCCGTAGACTGCATCACAAAGCCCTCCTGTTTCCCGTCATGCATAGCATCACAGACCTTTATTTGTCTAGGAGAAACTCATGTGACACAGTGCAGAGCCTGAGCCTAAAAGTGCCAAGTCACAGGAAGCAAATACTCTTTCATGCTCTATTCTCTATATCCTGTTGGCTCAGCCTTCTTCTTTCAGATAATAGTCTGGCCTCTATCCCCAGATAACTGAGTCTTTATGTACACTGCATGCCCTAAAACAGAGACAGTGGCTACTGTCTCTCTTCCTCCTACTACAAAGGAACTCCATGAACTATATCACCTGTACTGGGAAGATAACTAGAAAACACACAAGAGGACAGTGCACACATTGTCTTGTTAAGTCTTGGACAGTGAAGGTTTTGATGCCACAGGCAATAGGTAGTCAGTATCAAGAGGTTCAGGAAAAGAACAGTGATTAATGTGACAAGGAAAGGACATAGCTTCTGTTTTAAATAACTTACTGAAGAGTTAAAGAAGGAGTCCTCCCAGTCTCATCCCTAAGCTGGACAGTGTCAAAGGTACAAAAACATTTGAGTTATGTTACCTGCCTGCTCTCAAGACACTTAAAAACCTAGTTTCAAAGACAAGATTAATTCACAATCAAGAACCCACCTTATTAAGAGTTGAATCAAGAACCAGCCTTACTAGGAGTTGGGAAAGAGGTGTAGGGAGTTATTTAATGGGTACAAAGTTTCTGTATGGGATGATGAAAAAGTTCTGAAAATGGATGGTGGTGATGGTTGCACAGCACTGTGAATGTCCTTAATGTCAGTGACAAGTACACTTAAAAGTGGTTAAAATAGTAAAGTTTATATTGAGTATATTTTACCACAATTTAAAAAACAAAAGGCCAAGAAAACCCAATTGTTAGCATGAGGGGGTTTTTTGCTACCTATAAGGAAGAATATTCTGAAAATAATTTGGCAAAATAATGGATTAGTGAATGTTTTTCTTAAATGTCCTTTTTTACAGAACAAAATAAATACAAAATAGATTCTTACATTTAAGATAATTTAAGAAGAGTCTCACCGTGAAGACGGGATGAATTTGAGCCATTTCAACATCTTTCCTGAACTTGTAAATTCCATAATACAGGAATGAGAAGACTTTTCCAACTAAAGAGCACTGAATGACAGGTTAACAATAATCAGTGAAAAAGCATCTTGCATCAGCTTTTTAGCAGTAGATCAAGATACGTACAAAGTGGCTTGAATCTTTTATTACTGGTGTTATTCCTGCCAAACCAAGCTCCGGCTTCCTGCAGCTGCTGCCGGTCTCTATGCTGCTGCAAAGGTTCTCAGTCTCCAGTTAATCTGACCCGGTATGGCACTGCGTGGTACTTGGGGTCCTCCTTCCCTGGACTATGAATGTAGGTAATTAAGAAGCTTCATTCAGTCTTATAGGTCCAGTGTCAGATGTTGCTCGTTCGGCCATCCCCAGAACCCCAGGGTTACCAATGGGATGAAGAGGAGGTGCATAGGACTCTATATCTCCTACACAACCAGCTCCTGCTTCCTGCAGCTACTGCTGCAACACTGCTTAGTCTCCCATTAGCCTGACCTCTTTGCCCCAGACAAAATCACCAAATTTGGCAACATTGGCACCAGCTCCAACGAGTATACTATTTACTTAACAGATAATCCACAGCCACTGTCATCCCACTAAACTGTTAAAACCATATGCTGCAAACTGCTCTATAGCAACTTACCCACCCTTGCTCCTCTGTCTCAGAGCCGAGGTAGAGTCAAATGACAATCTTATGCCTTTCTGCAGAGCAGACTTTTAGTACTGGTTTACTTATTGATTTGGTACCCACTGACGGAGGGTGCTTGTGTGGATACGACAGTGGGATCAGCGTCTTCCTAAACAAGGGCACATTCGTGTAATGAACACACTACCGTTTTTCTTTTTTTAATGGATCATTTCTTTTTTCTTTAATTTATTTATTTAATCTATTTATTTTTGGCTGCGTTGGGTCTTCGTTGCAGTGAGCAGGCCCCTCATTGCGGTGGCTTCTCTTGTTGCGGAGCACGGGCTCTAGACGCGCGGGCTTCAGTAGTTGTGGCACGCGGGCTCAGTAGTTGTGGCTCGTGGGCTCTAGAGCACAGTCTCAGTAGCTGTTGCACACGGGCTTAGTTGCTCTGTGGCATGTGGGATCTTCCCAGACCAGGGATTGAACCTGTGTCCCCTGCACTGGCAGGCGGATTCTTAACCACTACACCACCAGGGAAGTCCACACACTGTCTTTTTTTTTTTTTTAAACATCTTTATTGGAGTATAATTGCTTTACAATGGTGTGTTAGTTTCTGCTGTATAACAAAGTGAATCAGCTATACGAATACATATATCCCCATATCCCCTCCCTCTTGAATCTCCCTCCCACCCTCCTTATCCCTCCCCTCTAGGTGGACACAAAGCACCGAGCTGATCTCCCTGTGCTATGCGGCTGCTTCCCACTAGCTATTTTACATTTGGTAGTGTATATATATGTCCATGCCGCTCTCTCACTTCGTCCCAGCTTACCCTTCCCTCTCCGTCCCAGCTTACCCTTCCCTCTCCCCGTGTCCTCAAGTCCATTCTCTATGTCTGCATCTTTATTCCTGTCCTGCCCCTAGGTTCTTCAGAACCAGTTTTGTTTTGTTTTTTTTTTTAGATTCCATATATATGTGTTAGCATACAGTATTTGTTTTTCTCTTTCTGACTTACTTCACTCTGTATGACAGACTCTAGGTCCATCCACCTCACTACAAATAACTCAATTTAGTTTCTTTTTATGGATGAGTAATATTCCATTGTATATATGTGCCACATCTTCTTTATCCATTCATCTGTCAATGGACACTTTAGGTTGCTTCCATGACCTGGCTATTGTAAACAGAGCTGCAGTGAACATTGTGGTACATGACTCTTTTTGAATTATGGTTTTCTCAGGGTATACGCCCAGTAGTGGGATTGCTGGGCCGTATGGTAGTTCTATTTTTAGTTTTTTAAGGAACCTCCATACTGTTCTCCATAGTGGCTGTATCAATTTACATTCCCACCAACAGTGCAAGAGGGTTCCCTTTTCTCCACACCCTCTCCAGCATCTACTGTTTGTAGATTTTTTGATGATGGCCACTGTTGCTTTTAATGATGTGGGCATGGACCTTCAGCTTTGCCCTTCCTGCCTCATGGTTTATCGTGAACGGCAAACAAGGGAGATGAAGTACATCAAAGGTCTCTGTGGACTCTGGAGGGCTACACAACTGTAAAGGATTCAGATTCGTCTGTTTCTAGAAAACTTGCTAAAGCTGGACCCTGCTTGCATGATAATGCTACAGTGCCACAATTACTGTAATAGTAGAATTTCTTCAGGAAACTGTTCATGATTACTGATTCATATGCACCATGGGTCATATCACAGCCCGATAAAGAAAAATCCTGACAGGACACTGATGTGATTTTGTCCCTCCACACAAGCCTTACTTAGGAGTTTTGCTGTGTCTCATTCTCAGAAAACACTAGTGAATACCTTAGATGTCTCAGGGACAGAGGGGACAGAGGTATAGCTGCTTCCATTCAGAAGCAACATTTTTTATATGCTAGCATTTTTATTAATGCCCAAGAGTTGGACAGGAAGAGTTGGACACACCCCAGAGTAGTATCTGCAAGACCACCAGCGCTTCACAGCAGGTTACTACGCTACACAGAAGTGTAGCAAGCATCTAGAGGCACTAGAGGGCAGCACTTGCCCACCCAATGAGTCCCGAGGACTCCGTTTCAGGAACTTTAAAAGGCCATCTGTTCCAGTGGCTCTCAATCCTGGCCTTACATCAGAATCACTGGGAAGCTTGTGAAAATACACATTTCCTGGCCTCACCCCAGACTTAATGAATCAGAATCTCTAGGGGCACAGTCTTTCAATCTATGTATTAAATAAGTGTCAAAAATAATCCTCAAGCAATAGAGCACTGGGCTTTGGGGTGTGTATTGGGGAGCAAATGGCCTCCAAAGAGCAACAATTCTTCCTCCCACCCAAGTTTTACTAAGATATAATTGGCACATAACATTGTATTAGTTTAAGGGGAACAACATAATAATTTGATGTATGTAGGTATTGTGAAATGGTTACCACAATAAGTTTAGTTAACATCCATCACCTTAGAGTTATAATTTTTTTCTTATAATAAGAACTTTTAAGATCTACTCTTTCAGCAACTTTCAAACATATTAACTACAGTCACCAGGCTATACATTAGACCCCCAGAACTTATTAATCTTATAACTGGCATTTTGTCCCTTTTGATCACCTTCATCCATTTCTCCCATCCCCACTCCCTGACACTGGCAACCACCAATCTGTTCTCTGTCTGAATGAGTTTGGTGTTTATTTTAGATTCCATATATAAGTGAGATCACATAACATTTGTCTTTCTCTGTCTGACTTACTTCACTTAGCATAATGCTGTCAAGGGCCATCCGTGTTGTTGCAAATGGCAGGATTTCCTTCTTTTTTATGACTGAAAAATATTCCATGATATCATCTTCTTTATCCATTCATCTGTCAATGGACGCTTAGGTTGTTTCCATGTCTTAGCTATTATAACTAATGCTGCAATGAGCATGCGTGTACAGATATCTCTTGGAGAGAGTGATATCACTTCCTTCAGATATATAACCAGAAGTGGGATTGCTGGATGAAATTTGAAACAACTATCTGAGGGTGATGTTATGAAAAAAAAATTCTCCTATAATAGGTAAGTTTGGCCATCTCTGGCAATGACCTAACTTAGACAGTGATCTGTAAATGCAAGTTAAGAATTCAGGAACACACGGAAGAAAGGAGAATTGACCCTGACTGAGAAAAAGTACTATGTGCCAGGCCCTTTACACACATCACCTCATTCAGCCCTTACCCTCAACCAGACCCAGGTGCTGTTATCCCATGTTATATAGGAGGAAACTGAATCACCTGTAAGTGAAGTAACACTAGCCTGAGGTCACGTAGCAACTTAGTGATGGATAAAAAGTTTGTTTCTAAACTCCACTAAGCCTTGCAACCTTCAATTCAATCAAGTTGAGAGGAAATGGACATAACATATGATTATAAGATGTTTGAAACTGCAGACCACTCACATGTCCAGTTGTTTTTGAAAAGAAGGGCCACAGTAATAAAAGGACTCTAAAACAGGAGCGAAAGAGCAAGGCTGGGTCCAAAGGTGTCCAATGTCGTCCAGGTCATACCTACTTCTCATCAGGTATGTCCCCCAGGGGCAACAGCCCAGTGACATTAGCATCTGAGACTGTCCCATTCACACGCCTGGCTTGATTACAGGCTCATCAAGTGCCTTCTGACTAGAATGTAACTTACAGTGTAAATGGACCTATACGAAGAGAATGACCTGACTAGCATGTAGGAGTATTCCAGGTCCCTCGGGATTGTATTTCTCAATATAAATTCGTAAATTAGCATGGTGATTTTATGACTCAGCCTCCTTTCAGTTTAATTTCAGTTGGTAATTCAGTTTAAATACAGTTGGTTTCTTCAGGAAACCAACTGGCTCAGAGAACCTTGACAACATGTAGTCTTTCTACTTGCACAGCTGAGGAACACTGACTCCTAGTTCTCCCTCCTTTCCGTTCCTCCTAGTTAGTCTCCACTCTCCTGACCAGTTGCAGAGGCAGGGAGGGCAATTCTAAACACGAGGCTGCTGCAAAGACCACAATCCCCGGCCTCCCGCAGAGGAGAGCAGCACCACTATTTCTCAGTCTGAACTACCTTCCTCTGTGTGCCTCAGTTTTTTCCCATTAGTACAGAGTAGTATCTATCAAAGGCTATTTATTGAATAAAGCATTTGGGTGGGGGGGAGAGTAATAAATGTTATCCATAAGTGAATCCCAATAACTTAAAAGTAGGAAATAACTGTTAGTTATACAGAAACACTCAAAATATCTCAGAATGTGCCTG